CCCAGAAATCCCCTGGGCTTCACCTTCCCACATCATTTACCAAAAACATCAAAGCCCTGTGAAAAGTTCATCAGAATTCCTGTGAACCAGGAGTCTTTCTATTCACTCACTCACTGTTATCTAGTTGAAACTGACTCATAACTGACCCTCTAGAGGATTTCTGAGGCCGTAAATCTTAACACACAGGGAGGAGAGTTCATCTTTCTCGAACAAAACACTGGTGGAGAGGCAAGAGCCAGAGGGGCTCAGCCTTTAGGTTAACAGCTCAATTTCCTCCGGACTAGGCCACTAGAGAGAGCATTCAAGGTTATATTATCAGAGTAAGAGCATCAGCTTACTTATGTTCCAGTCCAGACTCTGAAAGGCCCTGTCTCCTTATCTGGTATCTGACCATGTCTCTGTTAAGTCTGGATGGGGGCGGGCAAGAGGGAGAATGAAGAATTCAAATAATACACAGGTGAACAAGAAGAGTGCACAGCCCTGCCCACTGGGTAGAACTAACAGATGAACCATAAATCACAATAGGACATCCCTCCCTAAAGTCTCCGTTACTGATACCCTCAAAGGTGTGACTTCCCATTCTACATCTTCAGAATGAGGAACCTCAGAGCCCGGGAGCTCCTCCCTATCCGCTCCTCCCTTTAATAAAGCTGTTCTCATTCCATAAGCTTTCTCTCATTCTCTTATTGCTTCCTTAAGTCCGCAAACATAACAGTCTCCACCAGGATCCCTCATCTACTCACTTGACAGGTGTGGACGCATCACAAAGGGCAGAGGGAAACTCCACCAGGTGGTCCCCACTGACGACTAACAAGGTGAGCTTCTTCAGGTTCAGCAAGGCTTGAGGAAGGTAAGTTAGCTTGTTTTTATACAAAAGAAAGCTTTGCAGTTCTTCCAGCCTAAGAAGTAAAAGTGAACAGAACAGAAGGATTTGGCTTGGCAGCAAAGAAAATGGATTCCATTTACAAATATATTTATTCTAGGAGGAAATCTCTACTCCTTATCTCGTATATATGATCTTTATGAGAATAAATTCACACCTTTCCTTTCAAGTAGGGAGGTCCATCCCTTTGGGATGTGAACTTTCTAGTAAATCTCTCTTTACTTTTTTACCTTCAAAAAAATTTTAAAGTCACATGAATTAATAAAGCCATGTCATATGATGGCATTTACTTTTATTTTCCGTTTTCACTGACTCAGTCATCAATTGCTTAGAAAGACAACAGATACTGGTGTTTTAGTATTATTATTTTATACAGCAGTCTGTCGATTCTAAGAACCTAGAGATTTTGTTTTGTTTACTCATTTAATCTCAGCCCACTTTCCAGGCCTGCCGTACATGAGACCACTAATATTTGTGGAATGAATTACTTAAATATAAACATGAAATAACTGGGGAAAATATTATGTCTAAATTAGTAAACCAAACCGATAAAGATTTCCCTCACTAATATTCTATATTCCGGTCATAATAATTTTTTTTTACTTCTGTGGAGTTAATTGTGTCATTCTATTGAGGCTGAAACAAATTAAAGTTTGTTAATATTTATTAATATTAAAATTTATTAAAACCACTCCTGATGGTGGAGCGGTTAAAGCGCGAGGCTTCTCAGCCCTGCCGGAGGACTGTGAGTCAGAATCACCTGGGGGGAGTTGGTTTGGAAAACAATGGAAATGTACATTTGCATACAAATGCATGATGCAGACCGAGAGTGGTCTTACTCTACATAGAACCACACTACCCTCCTGGAATCAATAAACTCTTGAGAATTAAGGACAGTTGGTCTCAAAGAACATTCCCGTAACCTGTGTGTTTAAAAACATTAGCAGTATTTAAGGTTAGTAACTAATCCGTATACCTCACCTTCAGAAGGCAAGTAGCTACCTGTCTATATCTTGGGGCAGGTCATTGAGGCTATTGTTGCTGATATCCAACCACTGCAAATTACACATCCGCAGGATACAGATTGGGACACTGGAAAACTTGTTAGCGGAGATATCTACAAACGTGACTTGCTTCAAATTACTTAGCTAGAAAGGAAGAGAAAAAATATTCTAATTACATCTACGAGAATGGGACTTAACTGGATTTCCTTAAATTTTTAGATTGCTGCTTCTTCCTCCCCCCCCCCCAAAAAAAGGCATTTTTATAAATAGATGCAGAAATGGTCAAACGAACATGTGTTTCTCAGTGTCTACTACGAGTCACTTACTACGCTAACTGCCAAGGATGCTAACTAGCACATGGGGGCTGCCCTAGAGAAAATAAGCAAGGCAGTTTTATGTGTAAGAACGAAAGTGAAGATATTTTCAATGCACAGGATTAGTCAGCACAGAAAAAGAAGAGTATTGGGATTAGAACCAAAAAGAAGAGGCAAAAGTTTATGCTTGGGGAGAAAAAGTTTATGCTTGGAAAAATTAAGCTACCAGAACCAGGAAGCCAATATTGACAGGCATAGAATTGGTGCTTTGGTTGCATGAGTGATGTCAGAAGTAGTGGACACTTTGGGCACATGAATGACATTCAGAAAACCCAGTGAAAAGCATTCACTAACCTCTGAACGTTGTATGACATCATCTCATTGGCCCAGACTCCAGCCTCAAGGCCCTCCCAAAGAAGGAAGCCCCACCTCATTGGTGCATCGTGCTCTATGAGAACGGTGCCATCAGGATTGGAGGTAGACTCATCAACAACCTGTATTATGCAGATGACACAACCCTGCTTGCTGAAACTGAGGAGGACTTGAAGCACTTGCTGCAGAAGGTCAAGGACTACAGCCTCCAATATGGATTGAAGTTTAACATCAAGTAAACAAAGATTCTCAAAAAAAAAAAAGATTCTCAGCACTGGGCAGATTGGCAACATCATGGTAGATGGTGAAGAGATTGAGATTGTTGACAGCTTTAGTTTGCTTGGCTCTACAATCAACACTCTTGGTACCAGCAGCCAGGAAATTAAAAGACTGATTGCACTGGGAAAGTCTGCTGTCAGAGACCTCGCCAAAGTACTGAAGAGCAATGATATCAGTCTGGAGACTAAGGTGCGCCTGATACAGGCCATGGTTTTTGCATCAGATCTCTGTGCATCAGAGAGCTGGACAATGACTAGGGATGATAGAAGGAGAGTTGATGCCTTTCAGCTGTGGTGCTGGAGAAGAGTATTGAATATACCAGGGTTTGCTAGGAGAACAAATAAGCTCATCCTGGCGAGGGTGAGAGCAGGCTGTCTGTTCCTTGGAGGCAAGGATTCTGAAGCCTTGTCTTTGGACAAGCTGCAAGGAGGGACCAGTCCTTGGAGAGGGACGTCATGCTTGGGAGGATGGAAAGACAGCGCAGGAGAGGAAGACCTTTGATGAGATGGATTGATTCTGTCACTGGGGATAGGTGTACCAGAGACAATAGAATTGGCAAGGGATAGGGCAGGGTTTAGGGCTCTTGTACATAGGGCCGCTATGAGTCACAAGCAACTTGACAGCACATAAAAACAATAAATATTTATTATTTTAACCTCATTTCTGCCTCGTCTTTCCCCTCTCATCCCTGCGCTCTTACCAAAAGCTTCTGGCTGTATTTTAATGCACCATGCACTAAAGTCTGCTATCCCAAGAAACACTAAAACTGTCCTACGCTCTACCATCACCTTGGTACTGGGGTACCACTCCCTTCTCTAGCCTCTTCCGCCTGGTGTAATTCTTTTGCCTGTGCGAGAAGGGTGAACTAGGCTCCTCCACACACACAGTAACAAGAGTGTGAGCTGACAAACATTTTAGTGGGATGGGAGACAAGGGGGAGATGCAACACAGAACTGACGGTGTGAACTGGATCCTGAGGTTCCTTGACAGGTGGAAGAGACACTCCAGGAGTGGGAACAGCATGTGCAAAATCACAGCAGACTGAAAGCACACGCTCTGAAGGTTACAAAGAGTTGGTGAGGCTCAACAGTCAACCAAAAGGCAGAAGATTCAAATTCACCAGCCATGCCTAGAAAGAAAGATACATTTGAAGCCTTCATCTCAACTGCAGTGGGTTAAAAGTTTGGTTTCGTATCTCTGAACCCTGGTGGCTCAATTGCTAACTGAAAGGTTTTGTTTGTGTTCAAACCTGCCTGTAGTTTCACAGGAGATAAAGATGCAGCAGTCAGCTCTCATAAAGATTCCACAAGGAACCCCTATGGGGTACTATATTCTGTCCCAGAGGGTCTCTATCAGTCAGAACTGGCAGCAGTGGACTTTTAAAAGTGTTTAAAAGTGTTTGCAAATCTTAAGACTCACATCTGAATTTGTAAGTGATGGGTTAAATGACTAGACATTTCTAAAATGTATGCTTTATGGCCATAATTTTTTGTTTTTAACATAGTAACTGAAATGTGTTGAGAAATACATTTGTATCTCAAATGCAAATATTTGCTGTTGTTGTTGTTGTTAGGTGCCATTGAGTCAAGCATGACTCATAGTGACCCTATCAACAATAGATCTGAACCCTGCTCTGTCCTGTGCCATCCTCACACTTCCTGACATGCAAGAACCCATTGCAGCAGTCACCGTGTCAATCCACTTGGTCAAGGGTCTTGCTCTCCTTCACTGACCTTGCAGCCTTCCCGGCATCATGTCCCTCTCCCAATAAAGCACCTCATGCTTGTTGTTGTAGTGTGCCATCCAGTCGCCTGCGACTCATTGTGACCATATGTATAACAGCTCTAAAGTGTGCCCTGTCCTGAGCCAGTCTCACTGACTCTGACACACTCACCCCCAATCCCCCAGTTATCATGTCAATTCATCTCATCCGGGGTCTTTCTCTCCCGTGCTGAACCCCCACCCTTCCAAGCATGATGTCCTTCTCCAAGAACCAGTCCCTGCTGGCCATGTGCCCAAAGTAGGTCAGAAGGAACTTCAAAATCCTTGCCTCCAAGGAGAAACGTGGCTCCACCATCTCTAAGACTGATTTATTTGTTCCCCTGGAAGTCCATGGTATGTCCAATATTCTTCTCCAGCATCACAACTCAAAGGCATCAGTTCTTCTTCTGTCATCCTCATGCTTAGATCCAAGTATATAAACTGATTATTACTCTTGAAAGATAAAGGGTGGCATAGTGTGTATACGTTATGCTGCTAACTCAAAGGTCAGCAGTTTGAATCCAGTTTCTCCAAGGGAGAAAGATTTACAGTGTCCTCCAGTGACGATTTACAGGATAGAGGGTCCTTATGAGTCAAAATTGGCCCACGAGCACTGAGTGTAGATTGAAATAAAAGAGGACATTTTAACTTCCACCTATTATGTACTTTTTGAAGAGTCTGTAAATAAAATATGGACCACATCTCGAAATACATTTTCAAAACTGTTGTGAAGTATGCAGGCATTTGGAAAAGGTATTACTAATATGAAAAGAGAAAGAAAAAGAAGCAGCACTCAACTCATCCCTTACTTATCCAGCTTAATGTCTATAAAATTCTGAAGTAGGAAACGACCCAAGTACTCCATCAATGGGCGAATGGCTAAATAAACTGTGGTATGTCCACAGAAAAGAGTATTATGCATACGGAAAGATGACCAAGAGTTTGTGAAATACTGCCTAACATGGGTGAATCTAGAACAATTACGCTGAGCGACACAAGTTGTTTACAAAAACACAAGAATGGCTGAAGACCACTAACATTAAAAGCTACAGGAAGATCCTTCTGGGAGGGAGAACAGGGCTGAGAAGGGAAGGAAAGGGCAGCAAAAACCAATAAATAGCTAAGTTGGGAGAAGGGAAAAGCTAAGAAAATACAGTTCTATCTATTATGTTGCTAAGTTTGCTGTGATGAGACACCAGCAAGATCCACTCTACTGAACAGGCACATTCTAATTTTGTCCTTGTTTTGGATTTATAAGAAACAGTGGGAGGTCTGGTGGCCTTGTAGCAAGAAGCTGCACTGCAATCCCAGAGGTGCACGGTTCGAATCCACCAGATGCTCTGCTGGAGAAGGAGAAACAGTCTCCTCCTGTACCAGCCAGATCCGATTTGACGGTACACACACACACACACACACACACACACACACACATAATAAAAAAAGAAAGAGTGTGATGACAGTGATGTGATGGCAAAGAACCCATGAAGAGTGATGTTCTGGGTGCACATAATTGGACATGAAGTCGCTAACTGTGACTCTGGAGTTGCCCGATCAAGAGGAAAATCAAGACTAAGTTAAAACCTCTGCTTTCTCCTCCCCTAGCAGGATGGTGAGATCTTGTTCCCTGTCTGCACAAGAAGCATGACCTTTACTTGGCAAGAAAAATCGTTCCCTTTTTTTTAATCATTCACTTGTTTATCCGTACCATTTTATCAAAAAAGGATTTAACACACAGCAGAAGCAATTCATGAGCTCCTCAAAATTAATGGGTTTCTTAAAAAATATCTGCAAGGCTATTTTAGTTAGGTAAAAGTCTATGAATATTTTTTAAATTGCATCCTCTTTGTGTATTTACTCAGGATCTATGCTACAGACAAAATGCAAGCAGGGCTCACGACATGGGCTAAATAAAAATGTCTTGCCTAAAGATAGGATGTTTGCCTGAGTTTCCTTTGAGAGTGTTTTCAATTTAAATTTAGTCCTTAGAGTAGTATTAAGGACATTTTTTTTTAAGGACATTTTTTTGAAAAATCTTATAATAGCATAACTAAAATAATCCCCTATATAATGAAATATACTAAAGATAAAATTAAGCTTTTTGACTTCTTTCTCTGTATTATAGCCATTCTATATTATTATCCAAATTTTTAGAAAAATCATAGTGGGGGAGCTCTGGTGGCCTAGTGGCAAGAAGCTGCACTACAATCCCAGAGGTATGTGGTTCGAATCCACCAGATGTTCTGCTGGAGAAAGAGGGACAATCTCCTCCTGTGCCGGTCAGACCCGATTTGACAGTACACACACAAAATAATAAAATTAAATTAAATTTAAAAATTTTTAAAAATCATAGTGGGGTGGGGAAGTCTCTTACTTCAAAGGGGAGCTCAGTTAATTCTAGGTTTCCAGAAAAATCCAGCTTCTCCAGGTTTTCACAGTCTCCCAGTTCGGCGGGAATGCTTTTCAGGTGGTTGAAACTCACATTGAGTTCTTTCAGGTTCTTCAAACAACCTAGAAAAAGTTAGCATCCACTGAGTGGGCCCTTTACAGTCTTTTAGGAACAGAAAGCAAGTAAAATGTTTGCATAAATAAGGGAGGCACTAAATGCCATTTTGCATTTGTCTTTAAAGAACCTTCTTTTTAAGCATCTTTAAATTTAAAATTTAAATCTTAAATTTTAGTAATAAAATCTTTATTGTACTAATATCAAGAATTCAGAATAGTTTTAAAACTAGCTTAATCTGCTATTCTTAACTTAATGACAACTCTAGGGGACTTTGCTTTTAAATTTAAATCTTTATTAAATGTCTGCCTATCTTTCATCCTGAAGCATTTATTCCCATCATTTGCTTATTCTCTGTTGAGTCCTTCATAAACCACGGTGCGTACAGAGGATTGTCCCCCAAGTACTAGGGTCAGGCCCACCTTTGGGGTGGCAGCACAACTCCCTACCCACTTGGCCACCAGAGCTCCCTACATCGGTAGGAAGAAGACACAGTGACCCCAGCCGAGCAGTGAGCTGCGTACCGCAGACCAGAGGCCTGGAGATTCCTGCTAAGCAAACGTACCAATTTCCACTGGAAGACACGAGAGTTGGTTTTTTGGCAGATCCAGAATCCTCATCGCTTGAAACAGCTCAATATAGGTAGGAATGGTTTGGATCAGGGTATTGCTTATGTGCCATTCTTTCAGGTGGGTCTGCTCCTTCAGAGACTCTGGGAGCTCCTAAAATGGAATTCAGTGACATCAATCAGAGCTGCATCCCCCACATATTGCATAAAAGGACCAGATACACACAGCCAAGCTATTCATTAAACCAACAAGTGAGAACTCATGTGCAGAAACAGACTTAACAGCCAGCATCCCAAAGCATTGTTAAAAGAAAGCAAAGAAGAATGGCAGATTAACTTATTTTTAAATCTACCATGAATTCTTGATATTACTAAAATTAAATGCCTAGTGAATTAAGACTGTCAGGTTTACATATAACCACAATACATCTGATTTATTTATACAACTTAACATCTTTCAAGATTAAGATATTTCCATACATTGAAATTTTTTAAGGGGGGGCTGTATTTCCCATGTTCTGACATCTTTTAGAAATATGTAATATGTATTTAATATCTTAACACCAAACCCGTAAGTCAGTTCCAACCCACGGAGACCCACTATCAGGTTTCTGAGGCAATAAATCGTGTGTGTGTGTGTGTGTGTGTGTGTGTGTGTACAGCATCAAATCAGATCCCACTGACACAGGAGGGGATTGACCCTCCTTCTCCAGCGGAGCATCTGGTGGATTCAAACCAAATGCCTTCGGGATTGCAGAGCAGCTTCTTGCCACTCGGCTACCAGAGCTCCCTTGAGACAATAAATCTTAAAAGGAGCAGACAGGCTCATCTTTCTCCCATAGAGTGATTGATGGATTCGAATCATCAACCTTCAGGTAAGCAACTCAACACATAACCCACTATAAAACCAAGGATCTGTTAATACTACCTTCTTTAAAAAACCTTCAAACTCACAGTTGTCAAGTCGGTTCAGGCCCATATTGACCCTGTGTCATGTTTCCAAGGCTGTAAATTGTAATGGGAGGAGAATGCCCATCATTTACCCCTCAGAGCCACTATATTACCTGCGCCAAACTTCCAGACGTTTTCAGGATTTTATTAAAAGAAATGAGAAGTGCCCAGCTAGCAATCTCTGGTGACCTAGTGGCAAGAAGCTGCACTGCAATCCCAAAGGTGAGCAGTTCTAATCCACCAGATGCTCTGCTGGAGAAAGAGGGGCAATCTCCTCCTGTACCAGTCAGACCCGATTTGAGAGTACACACACAAAAAAGAAAAAATTTTTAAAATGTAAGTGTATGTGTGTGTGTGTGTGTATGTGTAAAAGTGCTCAGCTGGTAATTGAGAAGTTGGTGGTTTGTACCAATCCCTGGGCTTTGAGTTTTAGAAGAAGAGCTGCCTGAGTGTCTCTCAGAGGTAAGGCTGATGAGGCTTCGTCTCACGTGCTTTGGGCGTGTTATCAAGAGGGCACAGTCCTTGGAAAGGAACATCATAAACAGAAAAGGAGAAGACAATAAAGGAGGGGGAAACCCTCCACGCACTGGACTGACTACAACAATGGGCTGAAACGCAGCAAAGACTGTAAGGACAGTGCAGGATCAAGCAAGGTTCCACTGGTTCTCGGGGTCGATAAGAGTGGCCTCAAGGGCACCTAACAACCACAAGAACAACAGTGGCTCTGAAGGAGAAAGATGTGCTGATTTGCTTCTGTAAAGATCACAGCTTTCAAAAACCCTGCGGGGAAGTTCTACTTGGTCACAAAGAGTCACTGTGTGTCAAAAACAAACTCAATGGCACCTAACAACAGTAATAAGAGAAATCCAACCAAAGAACTTTTTCAAGATGATGAAATCAAGTCTTGAGAAGTCAATAGAAGAAGATAAGAATGATCATTTGGAGAACGAAGAGGGTGTGTAGTCCTTTCAAGAAATCAAACGAGGATCCAAGAGCAGGGAGCTCCTGGTTCAAAACAGGGGTGACACTCTTCACCCCCAGAGCTGGCCAAAACAGCTACAGAGCTTAGCTCAGCCGTAGCCCCAAGGGACAAAGGCAGATCTCTTCCCTCCTGGTCTCCACCGCCCCATCCACTTCTCAGCGACACTTTCTGCAGTGACTGGGCACGTTGCCTGGTGAGAAGCCAGAAGCCACAACTCCCTTGCTGCCACCAAGCCCTTTGAGATGGTGACAATCCCTTCACAGAGTGGCTCATTCCTTAATGAGAGGTGAAGGCTGAGGCTTAAATCTCTCTGGGAGAGAGAGAGAGAACAGTTACTGAAGGTCACACCAGGGAATGCCAGACGTCCAGTCATCCCTCCATTGAGCTCCATCAGGATAAATCACCATGGTTAGGTAACTGAGTGTGGGACAACGGGCCTGGTTGCCCAGTTCACAATGGGGTCTCCCACCAGCCCTGCTGAATCACAACCACCTCTCTATCCTCCTTTCTTTTAGCATAACATTCTTGTTGTTATGTGCCATCGAGTCACCTGTGACTCACAGCGCCCCTGTGTACATTAGCTCTGAACCCTGCAATATCCTGAGCCAATCTCATTGTCTCCAAAAGACCTAATTCCTTTTCTCCAGTCACTGAGTCACTCCGTCTCATCCTGGGTCTTCCTCTCCCGTGCTGTCACTTCACCTTTCCAAGTATGGTGTCCTTCTCCACGGACTGAACGACCAATCCCACCAAAAAACCAGAATAACAAAATTCTGCTTCATAAGGGTTTCTTCAATGACTGATCCTTCTGAAGTAGATCGCCAGCATTCCAAGGCATCTATGTTGTTGTTGTTGTTGTTGTTGTGTGCCATTGAGTTGGAACTGACTCTTAGCTAACCCTCCAATGGGTCTCAGAAGCAGTCAATCTTTCGGGAGGAGATTGTCCACCTTCCTCTCCTGCAGAGCAGCGGGTAGAGTCAAACCAGATGCCTTTGGGATGGCATTGCAGCTTCTTACCACTAGGCCACCAGAACTCCCCAGACACCTAGAGCTAGACTCCAGTCTCCACCAGTCCCCTTAACAGCTGACCACAGTCATGTTTGCACTCAGGGACTCCACTCCAGACCATTAGACATTCACTGAATCCACGTTAAAATCACTATTTTCAAAAGTAGGTCCGTGAGCCAGGAGTGCTCCCTGCAGCCTCTCCAGATGGATCAGATTCGACCACAGGGTAAGTGCCTGGCCCAGGGTCATGTGAGATAAATGGCACATGAGAACCACTGACCAATAGCATTTCATTAACAATTTAAAAATTCCTTGCTTTAAAAAAAAAAAACAAACCTCCCTGCTTCTCACTCCTGAATAGACGGTGTCCAGGTATCCACTGGTAATGCAAGAAAGAGTTTTTAAGGAAAAGAGGGTTTAGGGATATGGTTTCACACCATTTTTTAAGAGGGTTGTATAGCTTCTGAGCATCACAGAACATTTTCTCTTAAAATCCTCACATCAGCTTAAAGACGTGATCAGGGCTATCAAGGATGAAGAAGTGCAAAAAGGAAAAAGAAAAGTAATTCAGGTCACCTGGTCAGTAACCTACAGCCTCAGAATTGTCCTGAGTGCTTGGTTTCCTTGTCCAGAATCCTTTGGGTCACAACCCAGGAGTGTGAAAGGAGGTGGGAGAGCAGATCGTCCTGGGCCTTCTGCTATTCTCCCACTAAACTCAGTCCCATGCTGAGGGACATTTGCCAAAGGCAGGTTACCCGGAACAGACAGACAAAAATCTAGCAATAGAAATTAAAACCTAGACAAATAGGTATTACAAAATGTCTTGCATTAAAACAATTCTCCACTTAAAAAGAAGAAAGGAGGACTTATCCTGCAGTCCCTAAGGGCCACTTCTACCAGAAAGTGTCAGGTTCACCATGGAAGGTCATTTCCCATTATGGACATCCCTGGAAGAAGACAACTTCTCAAGAAAAAGGGAAAAAAAAAAAACAAAACAGAGGGATAGGACCCAGAGAAAATCTCAGGGCAGAAAAACTGGACAAAGAAGGCATCTGGCAAAATTCCTACTGGATGGTGAGAAGTCAGCAAAGACATTACACTAAGGTGGGGGGTATGAAAGGTTCAGATCATTTAAAAAAAAACCCGAAAAGAGTTATTGTAGATGTCAAGTTACAAAACAAAAAATGTGGCATATTATAAACTGTCCCAGGGAGCTCTGGTGACGTGGTTCATAGTAGCACGTTTAACCCAAAGGCTTTGCCTCTCCGGTGGTTCGAATCCACCAGCTATTCTGCGAAAGCAAGATGGGCAGTCTCTTCCCGTCCGATTTCCAGCTTCGGACGGTCGGCTGTGAATGAGTGTGAGCGAAGCTGTGCCCTGTGGGCAAGCGATGGGAGAATGAGGATGTGAGAACCAGCGCTCAGAGCAGGGGGCCAGCTCCTCCCCAGCAGAGAAAGCACGCAGAGCGGCAAAAACTTGGGAGAGGCTGGAGAGCACTATGCCTAGTGAACTAACTCAGTCTCATAAGAACAAATATTGCGTGATTGGAAAAATAGAAGAATACAATGTGTATGGGAGGGAACCCAAGGGGAGAAAAGATGGGAGTGGAGGGCTGAGGATGGATAGGGGCGAAACCACAGGGTTGCATAGTTTGATGGGCGGAGACAGAGGGGGAAAGAAAAGGAAAGAATCCAGGTGAAAAGCCAGGGTAACGATGGGCAAGGTCAGTGATTAATCTTACAAAACATAATACATGAAAACGATTGTATGAAACCCAATGTGAATGAACAATAGTGTGAAACACAATGTATACGAACTTCGTAAGTAAACCAATATAAACTAAATATTATATTTCTTAAATTTAATTAGATTATAAATTAAGGCGAGCTCTGGTGGCCTAGCGGCAAGAAGCTGTACTGCAATCCCAGAATTATGTGGTTCGAATCCACCAGATGCTGTGCTGGAGCAGAAGGGACAATCTCCTCCTGTACCAGTCAGATCCGATTTGATGGTACACACATAAAAAATAATAAGAAGGAAAAAAATTTTTAAATCTCGATTTTAAAAAAAGGAAGGAAAAAGCAGCTTTGGAGGCTGCAGCGAGGGTCCCTGGCGCCCTGGCACCCGCCCCAGCCGCTGTAATGCGCGGCCGCTCCCAGTAGATGGCGACTCCTGCACGTACCTTCCACTGCTCGCCCGAGAGTTCGAGCACAAAGAGGCTGCTCCTTCTTCTCTCCTTGGATAGCGCGCTCCTCCCGACCAGGGAATTCCTCTCGACCTTGTCCAGGAGCCTGGCGCTGGTGTCGACGAAGCCATTCTTGCAGTAGGCCGCCTGCGGGATGCCTTTCCTCTTGCACTCGGCCACGAAATTCCACTCTTCCTTTATCCTAAACCCGCAGCACAAGCGGTGGTCACTTTGGGCCCCCCCACCCCGAGGGGATCGCCATGCCCAGCCAATCTAACCACCCTAGTGGCACAGTGATTAAGCTCTCAGCTACTAACTGAAAATTCTCCCAAAATATTCAATGCTGTAGAGTCTAAAACCGAGCTCATGGTAATCCCATGGGAGGAGATTATGCGTCTTCCTCCCGTAGAGCCGAGGATGGATTCGAACCACCCAACAGCGCCGCTTTTTGAATTTGCAGTGCAACTCCCTACACGCTATGCCACCAGAGGTCCCCATTCACTGAGCAGCTACCACCACTCATTACCCCAAACACGTACTTTTCCAACGCGCTTCTCTCCAACCTTTCTGCCTCCTTTTTCTGCCAAGCCTTGTGCTTCTTCACGCGAGTTTCCCACAAGCCTCTGACGGCAGAAATGTCAAATACAACCACTTTGTGCCCCATGGCCGGAGCATGGAATCACCTATTAAAAATATGCATATACAAAAATAAAAAATAAAAAAAAATATGCATATACATGTCAGCTTTCAAATGCACACGTAAGAAAAATGTTAACATGAACCTTAAAACGTGAGTTAGTTTTGTTAAAGATTGATTACATGCCTTCGCGCATCCACAACTGCCGCTTGCAACCCTCAGCTGAACTCAGGGTTCCTAAAAACCTCTGTGAGTTCCTTAAATTCTTAGTTCTGGGAGCTCTGATGGCCTAGTGGCAAGAAGCTGCCCTGCAATCTCAGAGGTGAGCAGTTCGAATCCACCAGATGCTCTGCTGGAGAAGGAGGGGCAATCTCCTCCTGCACCAGTGAGTTCTGATTTGATGGTACACACAAAAAAAATAATTTTTAAAAAAACATAAATTAGAAAAAAAGAAAATTCCTAGTTCATCTCAATTTACTAGTGCGTGCAATTTGTGGGTTTTCTACCCTTTATTTCCGGAGTTGCTTTCAGGGCACAGGGTGTCACAACCTTGAGTGGTGTCTCTCTTCATCACTGTGAAAGTGAAGCTAGTGACAGCTGCCGCACTGCTCTTGTGGCACCTTGGTTCAAGTGCTCAGCTGAAAGGTCAGTGGTTCAAACCCACCCTGTGCTCCTCAAGAGAAAGATGTAGCAATCAGCTTTCTTTTTTTTCTTTTTTTTTATTAATTTTTGTGCATGTACTGTCAAATCAGATCTGACTGGTACAGGAGGAGATTGCCCCTCCTTTTTCAGCAGAGCATCTGGTGGATTCGAACTGCTCATCTCTGGGGTTGCAGTGCAGCTTCTTGCCACTAGGCCACCAGAGCTCCCTGCAATCAGCTTTCTTTCTTTTTCTTTTCTTTTTTTTTTTTTTTTGTTTTGTTTTTTTTGTTTTTCAATCAGCTTTCTTAAGGAGACAACTCAACTCATTGCTGGTGAGTTTTGACTCATGGTGACCCTCCTTCATGGGGCTCCAAATGTCTGTCACTTGTAATGGGAGGAGATGTCTGTCTTTCTCTGGACAATCTGTTGGTGGATTGAAACTGCTGGAGAGTTTAGAACAGAGTCTAGAAGATAGAGAATAGAAAATAACAGCGTGTAGAAAACGATAATAGCCCCTCTGGGCTATACTCAAATAGACTGCGTTAGCAGTGCAACCGCCTTCAAACTAACAAGCTACCAGAGCTCTCCACCACCCCGCTCCTCCGGGGAAATCCAATGGAGTTGTTCTCCATCCTCTGGGGATTGTGTGGGTCATAAGCCACTGGGATGCTGGCTTTGGACCATCTAGTACAAGTGCCTACAACAGCCAGCAAAGATGGATGTTCCTATTTCACTCTTCTGAGTGGATCCCAGAGTTTATGTAGTTTGCTTAAAGTTGCACAGCGTATCTGCTCATTTGTTTTCAACTCTCTGCTGACCCTTGGGAACCACAGCTTATTTACAGAGGAGTCTTCCTCTAAATTTATTAAATCATTTCACATACACTGTCCCATTCATGGACGTGATATTTAAGGATGTTTAAGGAGCAATTTCTGCCAAACCCCAGAAGGCAGAATGGAAAGCCGCCGTTGCCAAGTCTCGAAATAACAGTGGCCAGTAGCTCAACTGCCTGCATTCAGAGTGCTTCTGGGTCAAGATTTGTCTATACAGGAGGCAGGAATTCCCTCTATTTTTAAAACATTCATTTTAAGCCTCCCCTCATTGCATTCCCTAATGCACTTCTCCATCTTCTTTTTATTAACAAACAGTAAAACTGACTTTTGCTGAGGGGTATGTGCAAGCCTCGAGGAACCTGAGCTAAAGGACTCCAGCTATGACATGGAGGATCGGTGGTTCAAACCCACCCACTGCTCCAACAGGGAAAAGCTGCGTTAGCTGCTTCTGTAAAGATGTGAAGCCTCCGAAGCGCCACCTGGGTAGGGTCATTACGAGCCAGAATGTATTTGTTTTAAGATAAATATCAACGAATGGATTGCTCGAACATTTAATTGAGCTGTCAACCCAAAGGCACGTGGTTCAAATCACCTGGGAGACAGATGGGCACTCTCCTCCCTTTTAATGTATCGCCTCTGAAAAACCACTGGAGGGTCAGCTATGAGTCAGTCCCGACTCTACGGTACACAACAACAACAACAACAAGTGTTAAGCTTAACTTTATAAGAAAATGTCAAGTTTTTCCTGAGGGAGCTATTATCAAAGATTCTCACCACTGGACCAATTGGCAGCATCAGGATGGATGGTGAAGAGATTGAGATTGTTCACAGCTTTAGTTTGCTTGGCTCCATAGTCAACAGTCTTGGCACCAGCAGCCAGGAAATTAAAAGGCACATTGCCATGGGAAAGTCTGCTGTTAGGGACCTCTCCAAATTACTGAAGAGCAATGGTGTCTCTCTGGAGACTAAGGTGCGTCTGATACAGGCCATGGTCCTCGCAATCACTTGTTATGCATCAGAGAGTTGGACAATGACCAAGGAGAATAGAAGGAGAATTGATGCCTTTGAGCTGAGGTGCTGGAGAAGAGTACTGAGAATACCATGGACTGCTAGGAAAACAAACAGATTTGTCCTGGAAAGGGTTAAACCGGGTGTCTCCTTGGAGGCAAGGATTCTGAGGCTCCGTCTAACATACTTTGGACATGTTGTGAGGAGAGACCGGTCCTTAGAGAGGGACATCATGCTTGGGAGGGTGGAGGGACGGCGCAGGAGAGGAAGGCCCTCTATGAGGTGGATTGATTCAGTGACTGGGATAATTGGGATGGGAGTGTCGGAAACAGTGCGATTGGCACAGGACAGAGCGGAGTTTAGGGCTGTTGTACACAGGGTCGCTATGAGTCACAGGCAACTCGACGGCACATAACAACAACAACAACATTTCTACCAGCAAGATAAGTAGGAGCTCTGGTGGCCCTAGTGGCAAGAAGCTCTGCTACAATTCGAAAGGCACATGGTTCAAATCCACCAGCTGCTGTGCAGGAGAAGGATGGGCAATCTCTTCCCGTGCGATTAACTGCCTCTGAAAACCCACTGGAGGGTCAGCTATGGGTCAGTTTCAGTTCGACGGTCCACAGTAACAACCTGCAAGATGTGTGCTCTGGATGCATAATCAGCAAGGAGAGGGCTGCTATCCCAAAAGTCACGCCTCTCTGGAGTTCAAATCCACCAGCAGCTTTCAGAAAGAAAGGTGAAGAATATCTCCTCCATGCGATTCTCAGCCTCCCCCACAAAACCCACTAGAGGATCAGCTAGAAGATGAATTCTGACTAGCTAGAAATGAGAGAGGTATTTGGGGCTTTTCTGCTGACCCTTGGGTAGGGGTTGGACAACCCAGAAAGATTCATCACTAGCGATCTGCCTGAGATAAAAGAGACATCCTAAAAAAGAGAAAACTTCTCACTTGCCCTAACCTGTCTGCCTGGAGAAGGCCATCCCAGCGGTGAGCATACGCAGTGCTCAGCAATGGTCCACTGTAGACATTCTGGATGAGAGAGAGGCAGGAGAGAGGGCCTGCGGTGGTCGTTTTCATTCTCTATCTCTGTGACACCCGAATCTCTTTTTCCAGATGTCTCAAGCCAGGCAGCTGGCTGGAGGCAAAGTGCGTGCTAAGTTGCCAATTCTAGACTGGGACTCCACTGTATGGCACCTGGCAGTTGCCAACAGCAAAGTGTCCAATGTTGACCTCGGATAACAGCCAGGTACAACCTGCCAGGTAGACAGAGCTGAGCGTGGAGAGAGAGCAGAACTGGGGACACTCCAGCCCGCTCTCTCTAACTCACAGCACGTGCCTGGCCCGACAGCGTGCCGGGGGCAAACAAAAACCAGATGCCAGAGTGGATTTGTCCTGAGAATTCTAGTTTGCTGGCTCTAGTTTCAGGAAGACACTGTCCATCTTTCTCCCTTGGAGTAGCTAGTAGATTTGAACCTTCAGTCTTCCGATTAGCTAATAAGGTTATGCTGTTTAGCCCCAGCTCTAGCAGAAAATAAAAGAGGAAATCTTTTGCTTGGGTGAATGTGATGGTTTTAAACTAAGTTCATCAATTCATTGACATTCTGTCTTTTAAAAAAACTTCGATCTCACAGCCCTCAAGTTGATTCTGACTCATAGTGACCCTCCTTCGGGTTTCTGAGGTTGTATATCTTAACAGTTTTGGGTAGATTTTTATGCCACAGTAAATAATATACTGGATAATAACAGGGGGCACTGATGATTTTAATGGTAAAGAATTGTTCTCCCAACCCAAAGGTACATGGTTTGAATCCATCAGGTGCCTCTGAAAACCTGCTGGAGAATTAGCTATGAGTCAGTTCTGACTCGAAGATACACAATAACAGCAATAGGTAATAGGATGGAAAGTACTTGGAAAAAGAAATCTCAATATATAACGATATCTGGTATCTACATGCAGCTGCTTCTTTGATCTCCCCATTGGGATGCCTCCCACAAGACTCCAAGTAACATGACAGTCTCCAAGCAAGTTCCCTCACCATTCATCAGCCCACTTCCTCATCTCAGGAATGGTCCTGTCATGATCCGAAGGTCATTCTTTAATGTTTTGTTCCTTTATTCATTTCATTGGCTACATATATATTTTATACCAAAACTTAAAACTCATTGCTATAGTACAAACTGACTTATGGTAACCCTATGGGACAGAAAGTAAATGCCTCATGAGTTTTCAGGGCTGTAAATTTCACTGAAGCAAACTGATTCATCTTTTTTCCCCATGGGGAAGCTGTGGCTTTGAACTGCTGACCTTTTGGTTAGTGGTCAAGTGCCTTAGCCACCGTGCCACCAGAACTCCTTCTGATTTTATAGACCCTATTAAATCTGCAGCTTAGCGCACAGGCTTGTCCAAACACTCTTGTTTTATTTGGGTTTCGTTTCTTGGTTTTGGGGGTTATTATTAGTTTTTTTAATTGGATTGTTTGTTTGGGTCTTTTGGGGGGATGGTTTGTTGTTAATTTTTTTGTTGGGTTTGAGGTTGTTAG